AGTTCGTTGGAGTTCGTCAGTGAGGCCCAAAACCATTTTTTGTTTTTTTTTTAATTGTTTAAGCCCTAATTTCGGACGATGCCGTCTCTTTGGAATGAGCTCGACGAATCCGTTGTTAAGGTTCATCGATGACGTGTCGTGCTCTTATTGGTCGGGGTTTGAGAAATTTTTTTTGGCAATGTTAGGATTCTCAAGGAACAGTGCGGAGCGGAGGAAGTTAGGATTCTTCTCTTGCGCAACCGGGAATCCAATCGACGACTGTTGGCGATGAGATCGAAAATGGCATCTCCGGCGAAAACGTCTGGCTAATTGCGCAATCGATTTCAGGCGTGAGCGTCGCGATCGCAGGAGGCGCGTGTATCACGATCCAGTTCCTGACGAACATCATCATCCATGGGATTAATATCCATGATTGTAGACGGACGGGTAACGCCATGGTGAGAAGCTCGCCGTCGCATTACGGGTGGAGAACTATGGCGGACGGAGACGCGATCTCGATTTTCGGGTCGAGTCATATTTGGATTGATCATAATTCGATGTCTAATTGTGCTGATGGGTTGATTGATGCGGTTATGGGATCTACTGCTATTACAATCTCCAATAACTATTTCACTCACCACAATGAGGTTAGATCTTCGTCTACTCTACTGCGTTACATTACCAAATTGGTTGATCCTAGAATGAAAGAACAATGGAAACAGTGTTGAATTTGTCGTGGAATCGCATTCTTCTTGACCTTTTTGGAGCCAAACTTCATATTTAGCTGCGTAATTAGTCAGTGTTGTGCATTAGATTGTGTAGATTGTGTGTAAAGTGGATGTTTTTACGCTTGATCTTAGCCTAATCACTACAGAGAAACTCAGCTTTGAGAACATTTTTCTTATGAGCCTTCAAGAGTTTGAGAAGAATTTTTCTTGATGGGTAATTGCAGGTTATGTTGATGGGGCATAGTGATTCTTACACCAGAGATGAGGTGATGCAAGTGACCAGAGAAAGGATGCATCTGATTATCATATTGTTTTGCAGGTAACTAAGAGAGTAGGTTCATGGCAAGGAGAATGGAAGCGATGGAACTAGAGATCGCAAGGAGACCTATTGCTCAACGGTGCCTACTTCACTAAATCAGGAGTTGCTGCTCCTGCAAGCTATGCCAGAGCCTCTAGCTTGGGAGCTAAACCATCTTCTATTGTAGGTATGCTTACTTACAGCTCAGGTGCCCTTAAATGCAGGATCGGTATGAGGTGTTAGCTAATTGTATAATCCTCAAAACCAAGACCGAGGAAGATAATTGAATAGCTAAGGGAAACAAAGAAGAAAATTAACTTGTTTTCTTCGTTCCCGTATCATTGTTTTCTCTTTCTTTTTCTTTCTTCTCTATTACCAAATTGTAGTACAGTGCATTCTTCATTACACTTTTGCTGTATCATCATTTTATCATATATTCTTCTATCAATGTAATGCTTTTTTAACTGCTTCTGTTACACCATTTTCATGGAGAAAGATACATAGATAAAATCAAAATCAGAAACGGTTTCTTGCCTATGAAACAAATGCATATAGCCAACTAAAGTAAGAAAAGCTTAAAATGGAGTTTCAGCGTCGCTCCTAGTTTCTGTCGGGCTATACAATGCGGATCTATTCATCGGTCTATTCTCCTCCAATTGCTTCACAACCTCTTCCATGGTGGGTCTAACCGTTGTAACAGGAGCACAACATCCCATCGCTAGCTTCAATGCATGAACCAAACCTTCTTCCATTGGGCTCCTTATCCCTTTCATTGCCTCCAAGTCGAAAACCTCCACTGCTGTCTCCTCCAACACAGCAGCTTTAACCAAAGAAGGCAGATCCACAAACTCACAATTGTTCTTCCCACTCTTTCCCGGTTTCAGCAGCTTTAACCAAAGAAGGCAGATCCACAAATTTCAGAAAAAAAAAAATTATTATGTTATTCTAAAAAACCCCATGATGAGTTCAGGGTTGGAGGTGATCTTAGAATTAGGGTTCAGGGTTGGAGGTGATCTTAGAATTAGGGTCTTACATCTGATGCTTATTTATACAAGGGAAGGGAAAGGAAGATTCTAGTTACAAGACAGATGGCATTTTACAGTTCACCGTTGTTATCCTCAAGCACACTGAAGCTGTTTGCAGAGTTTGTACAACCTTCTCTGCTTTTGACTGTTATCTCTGTGTTTTGTGTTCTGTGCATTCGAGTTGGGTTTGATGTGCTTGACATTTGTCGTTTGGGCCTTGTGCAGATTTGGTTTGGGTGAGGTATTGCTAATATTTCCAAGCAGTCAAAGCCAATGAAACGGAAGTTCGTTTTCCTTATTTCTGTAACTACGTTCCTAGCTTTGTTACGTATTACATTTTATCATCGTCTATAAAACAAAAACAAAAGTGTTAAACTTTGTATGTGAATATGTGATGATCAAAAGGTAAATCGACTTTCGATGATATATTCTTTATCAAGCCCATCATTATATATATATAACACTTTACTAATGCAACTTTTACCATCATCATTCAATTCAAAGCAAATCTTCTTTCTTGTGTTCTGGTAATCTGATCTATTTTGTTGAACTCTTTTTCGGTTTTGTCCAAACATGGCTCGCTTCATCAGTATGATTCTAGACTTCTAGTCGTGGCTTTTTGCGTTACAATCTTTGTCTTTCCGATACAATCATCACCGCCCAGCTAAGCCGACTTCTTTTCTCCAAAACTTGCCCCAACATCGAACAGATTGTGAGAAACGTCGTCCAAAATAAAGTAAAGCAGACATTCGTCACTATCCGTGCCACTCTTCGTCTCTTCTTTCACGATTGCTTTGTCAGAGTATGATTTCAATAAGAGATGTTTGAAATTATCAAGACACTGCAATAACTATTCCACAAAACACCAAAAGAAAATGGGAAAATCACAATGCAAGGAAGACTCCTCAGTTGGATCAATAGCTACTAAACATCCTCAGCTATTTCATTCAAAGCACTTTATTAAACAGAAGAGAAATAAAAACCTAAAACCACCAGAATCCATGTGAGTTTGTATTTCATCATCATCAGCACAATGCAGCACCATATGATTAATGGAATCAGGCCTTGACGTACGGTTTCTTTTGCAGCACCACCATTTGCCTTTGCTTGCTTCTCTTTGTAGTTTTTGACGGCTGATTTGATAGCGTCTTCCGCAAGCATACTGCAATGCAGCTCAACAGGTGGCAAGTGAAGATGCTTTGCGATTTCCCTGGAAAAAATTTGACAGCAAAGCAAAATAATTGATAAATCCAAAACAATCATCCAATGTGCTATCAAAGTTTCAACCTATACGTAACCAAAAATCATATCACTAGAGTGAAGAATATCAAGAACTGAAACAGAGACAGATCTGGCTTACGCATTCTTAATGGTCAGAACTTCCTCTATCGCTTTGCCCTTGATCCATTCAGAAGCTGAAAAAATAAAAACAAAAACAAATCTATCAGAGCCTTACATATCACAATTTATCCCATAGGAAGAGCAAACATTCCACGAGAAAGACAAGACATACCGACGGAAGAAGAGGCGATGGCTGAGCCATACCCAAAACTCTTGAAACGAGTATCAGTGATGAATTGACCAGAATCATCGACTTTAATCTGAAGGCTCATCACGTCACCGCAGGAAGGAGCACCTACCAATCCTGTGCCAACGTTAAGGTCATCCTTGTCGAAGGACCCAACGTTCCTAGGGTTTTCAAAGTGGTCGATCACATTCTCATGGTACGATCGATGGCGACCGAACCCTATAGAAGGAGAGACCGGCCGTCGAGTTCGGTAGCCCTAGAAAACACTTCTTCGCAGTTTGCCTTAGCATCATCATACTCTCTCTTTTCTCTCTCGGCCGAATCAAGGGCCTTTCTTTTTTTCTTTTTCTTCTTTACCGTTTATGCAAAGAGAAATTGCATAAGAAAGAATTTATTTTGAAGGGGACTGCAAAATACTTATTGACATTTGTTAATAGAAAATAAGAAAACTATCATATTGAAAACATATGTTCTGATACTTTTCCATGGAAAAAGAAACTTATGAAATGCGTCTTCCTTCATACATTAAGAGCCAACAACACTCCAGCGCACTTGCTAGCAAAACATGGACCTCCCAATTGTTTTCCCCTTCATGGTTGTCTAATGCTGTGTTTGAAGATTGTAATCCTTTTTCATAATGTATATAAACATAAATCAAAGTTTTGATAATTCTGTCTTTGTAACTCCTTAAACATTATCTAAAGCATGAACAGAACGTTTCATTTTGCATAAGCAACAAAAGCTTCAATATTTTGAAGAGTGTATGCACTAGAAAAACGTTCATCAGGTGTGTGTATTTTGTTTTAGTTCTTCCACCATTGTAGAGATAAACATTCTATACAAGACACAATTGGCTTTGACAAAGTTCACTCGTATAATTCCCGTTTGAGAATAAAACAGAGGATTCTCAAATTGTTTCAGTGACAATTCATTTGCACAAGCAACAAAATGTGTAGAGAAATGTTATCATTTCTACAATTCATTTACAATTGTAGAGTGTATGCACTAGAGAAAAACGCTCATCAAGTGTGTATATTCTACCCACCAATGTGTAGAGATGATAACATTTCTACAATTCCAGTTCGAGGTTAAAACAGAGGATTCTCAAACCGTTTGATCAAGACATGAGCATCTGCAACTTGATCACTCATCAAATCAATGAGAAAGTCCAAAGATGGTACAACAAACAAACAGACACTAACTATCATAACCATTCTACTCAACACAAACAAAAGTACTTCAATTCTTCAAAGAAATTTTGGTTAATCGCTGTCACAACATACATACTCTCTCTATCATCTACGAGTGAGTGCATAAGTTTATAAGTGAAACAATACGAATTGCATTCCCAAGACATGAAACAGTCATTCATCATGGACACATTATAATAGAAATAAACAACACAAAAAAAACAAGATTTAGGGTCATGTATTTTTGCTTGTCTTTTTGTTCCAAGAATGCATTACTTAATTGAAGTTTGGAGACTATTAAGGCATATTTTCATTTCAGAAAAATGTACATTTTAATTAGAAACTATTTCTTTTTGTATTCAACTAAAAAAAAAAAAATGTTTCACGCAAGTCTGTTCCCTAGTGATTGTAAAAACAAAAACAAAAAAAAAACAAGAGTCAAGACGATGGCTTCAGGTTCCTAATTGCAGCGGCCATAATCTGTCAGATAATTCCACATGTGAAACCAAATTAGACGTAACAAACGAAATACAATTTCTATAATAAGCCAATAATGTTTTTAAAAAAATATACGTACCCGAGCAGGTCCCGGATCAAACCTTCTTTCACCAATACTTGTATTCATGTCCTCTCTCTTTGTGCCTAAACTTGTTTTATTAGATTCTACATTGTACCTCACTGCTAATTTTGTATCATCTTCCACTTTGCAACTGCTTCCACTACATCCTTCTTCTTCTTCCATCTTTGTGGTATCTAAGGATTCTGCATCCTCTTCAATACCTTTGTTCTTGCTTCTTGTGATGATATTACTGGTTTGGGGACTTTGTCCCTTGTTCGAGAATTGTTTAGCTGCAGCTCTTGCGCCAGTGATTGCAGCTGTGAGACTGGTTAGTTGGTCTATCTCAACTGGTTTCTTCTCTTGTGTTGAATATGAAATAGAACCGGGTTTTAAAGAAAACGGGTCTTTTGGGTCTGGAAGAGGGAATTTCACCACAAACTGGTTTTGACAAGGCGTAAGACCTCTAGCAGCTCCTGCGTATATCTGTTTCATTAAAAAAAAACAGTTAACTGTTACTACTCTAATAGCCCAATTCTTAGTAAGTTAAATGGAATAATGAGTACCTTATTTTCTAAGTTATAAACGCCTTGGTACCCACGCATCTCAAATGGAATAATCAGTTTCTGGAGCAATTCACAAAATTTCAAATGTTGATTAACCAATCAAAATAAAAACTGTAAGAAACTGAAAGATGAAGTAAATTTCACCTGTGGCTGCTCACATAGCCAACAAAAATTTGTTTGTCCTTCAAGCCTCACCTGTTATACCAAAGAAAGAAAAAAACAGTCCGGCTTTGCTTATTACAAACTATTGAATCATCGATTATGTGCTGTCTTAATTTTTTCAAAAAGTAGATTTAAGTAAAAAAATGTCCGACCCCTTTAGGTATAGCTTCCCAGTTCTGAAGTTCATCGCAGCTGACACAGCCAACAACCTCAACACATCCTAAACGAACAAAACAGAGTCAAAGCAGGTCTAACTTAGAATCTAACATATAACTTAGAATCTAACATTGAACTTGCCATTCAAATAGGCAAGATCTAAAGAATGATATATACAGATTCGTAAAGACATCCTATACCAACAAAACTGAATCAAAGACGGTCCAAAGCAAAGCAAGTCTAACTTAGAATCTAAACATAGAACTTGACATTCAAATAGGCAAGATCTAAACAAGATACATAGAGATTCGTAAACAAATACGAACAAAACATAATCAAAATATCGTCCAAAGAAAATTCAGGTCTAACTTAGAATCTAACACAGAACTTACAAGATCTAAACAATGATATATAGAGATTCGTAAAGACATGCTATACCAACAAAACTGAATCAAAGACGGTCCAAAGCAAATCAGGTTTAACTTAGAATCTAACATAAAACTTGATATTCAAATAGACAAGATCTAAACAAGATACATAGAGATTCGTAAACACGTGCTATACCAACAAAACTAAATCAAATACGTTTCAAATATGCCAGATCTTAACAAGGCAAATAAATATTAGTAAATAGTACCTATTAGTCTTGAAACTGGGTAATGTTGGGGAAATTGAATATCTGTGATCCCATCAACAGCGTAAATTTCTTGGTAAAACTCTTCCATTGCTTTGATTGTAGCTTCATCTGGGACTTTACTAGCAGCGTGAATCCATAGACGACCTGTTATATGTAAAACACACCATCATCATCTTAGAAGTTATGAAAGTATCAAAAGCTCAATCTTTTGTATCAAATTCTCGTATTCTGGATTAAATTCTGTTAAACCAGATTCTATTCAGATACAAAATCGGATTCTGACTTTACACCGAAAAGGATCGAGATTTCAAAATTAGGGTTTATACCTCGAATCGGCGCAGCCCAGGATCTGCCTTCGATGCGCTTAATACCATGGACTAGAAGCGAAGCCCATGGCTGATGCATAGTCAAACAAGGGTTCTTGTAATTCCCACGTCTCATCGCTCAGATTTGAGTGCGGGGCTGTAATGCAATATCTCCTAAAGAAACATAATTCTAATAATTATTTTTTTTTACAGGTGAACATCCGCAGAATTTTCTTTTCAATTTTTCAATTTTTTTATATAAAAATTAATATAATTATCACTTGTTACTTATTTATTTGTTAATATTTATTTTAATAAATTTTAAAATATTAATTTAAAATACTTATTAAATATTATACAATAATTCAAAGTTATATTAAAATTAATAAATACTATTCTATATTTTTAATTAGTTATAACATAAAATTTTGTTTAACATTTATACAAATATTAATTAATAATTAACTAATAAAAATTTAAATTAATATAATCATTATTTCATTTGTTACTTGTTAGTATTTTATTATAAATAATCTTAAAAATTTATTTAAAATACATCTTGAATATTATTAGGTATTCTACAGTTATATAAAGATTAAATACATATCTATCAATATTTGTAATTAGTTATAACATAAATTTTTGTTTAACATTAATATTAATGTTAATTAAGAATCAATTAATAAAATAAACTTTTTATATTTTAAGTGTTTTAAAAATTAAATTAAAATTTTTTTTTTATATTTAATATTAAATTTATTTTTTAAAATTTAAGTGACAGGTGTCAACCTCTCCAATGCTGATGTGTCAAGCATATGGAGAAAGTTGATTTTATTTTATATCAACTAGGTGAATACCCGCACGTTATGTGCAGGTTCTTTTTTTCAATTTTTTTCAAATTTTTTTTATATATTTTTATAAAAATTAATATTATCATCACTTGTTACTTACTTACTTGTTAATATGTTATTCTAAAAATTTTAAAATATTAATTTAAAATACATATTGAATATTATTTTATAATTTAAAGTTATATTAAAATTAAGAGATATTTAAACCCAAAAGCACTTTTTACAACTCATATTACAGCAAAAGGTACTTCTTGCTATTAGGTGACTTTTCTTTGTTTTCAAATTTTTTTGGACTTTTTTGCCCCTCAGTAAAACGAACATCCTTAAAATAAACCAAAATTGCCTTCTATGTTCACGATATCGGTGGATGCAAACGAGTGAATACCCGATTTAATCCAGACTTTTAAAAATATTAAAATTTTCCCCATCTGTTTTGTTTTGTATTTTTCTATATTGTGAAAGATTGAAAATAATTTTTTTTTAGAATAAATCATAATTTTATTTTCTCATATTTTAAGATCCATTATACTATAGTTTATTTATCAAACAAGAAATTTTTCATAAAAAATTCAAAAAAAACACAAGTGTAGTTAGATATCAATTCACAAAATAAGATATGGATGATACATGATGGACATAAAACATGGACATGATAGTGTGGATTAGTTTTAATTGATATATTCGATGTGGATATACATTTTACATTGTCTACAATATGGACATGATTGCGTGGATATGTTTTCATTGATATATTCGACATGGATATACATTTTACAACGTCTATAATCTATTCACATGATGCATGATGGACATATAACATAGACATGATTGCGTGGATATGATTTCATTCATATATTCGACGTGGATATACATTTAACATTATCAATAACATGGACATGATAATGTAGATATATTATAGACAATGTAAAATGCATATTCATGTCAAATATATGAATGAAAACATATCCACGCAATCGTGTCCATGTTATATGTCCATCATGCATCATCCACATCATATTTTGTGAATGGATATCTATGTAGATTTCTTTTTTTTTATTTTTTTATAAAGGTTATTTGAAAAATTTCTTGTTTGATAAATAAAGTATAGCATAATGGGTCTTAAAACAATGACAAAATAAAATTAGAATTCGTTTTAACAAAAAAAATTATTTTATATATTTCACAATACAAAAAAATACAAAACAAGACAGATGGGGAAAAAAAAATATTGTTTTTAAAATCTGGGTTTAAACCAGTATCTACGAACTCGTATCCACCATTATCGTGAACACGAGGGGCATTTTTGTATTATTTTGATGTGAAATTTAAAAAAAGGAAAAAAGTCCCCTAATACAGTAGAAACTCTATAAATTAATACTCGATAAATTAATAAATACTATAAATTAATAATTTTTCATAGTCTCGAGTTGGGCTAGTTCAAAATATGACACAATTCGATAAGATAATAAGATAATAATTTTAATAAAACTTCTATGTAAATTTATGGTCCCATTGTTATCATAAATTAATAATTACCATAAACAAAATCTGATTTCAACATATACATGAGATAATCTACTAAAATACGTGTATAATGATGCATTTTATTTATTTTAAATTAAATATTTTTTGAAATTCATTTTAAATTTTAGAAAGAATTTTTTTTAAAATTATATAATTTTTTTAAAAATTAATAAAAAATAAAAACTATTTTTTTCTTTGAAATCTATAAATTAATAACTTTATAAATTAATAAAATATCAAAGTCCCAACATTATTAATTTATAGAGTTTTTACTGTAGTTAGAAGTGCCTTTTTTGTAAGAAGAATTGGAAAAAGTGCCTTTGAGTGTAAATCACTCTAAAATTAATAAGTATCATTCAATATTTTTAAAGTTATAACATAAATTTTTGTTTAATATTTACACAAATATTAATTAATAATTAATTAATAAAAAATTAAAATAAATATAATCATCATTTCATTCGTTACTTGTTAGTATTTTATTATAAATAATTTTAAAAAATTAATTTAAAATACATCTGGAATATTATTAAGTAATCTACAGTTATATAAAAATTAAATACATATCTATTAATATTTTTAATCAGTTATAACATAAATGTTTGTTTAATATTAATATAAATGTTAATTATGAGTCAATTAATAAAACAAACTTTTTATATTCTTTAAATACTTTAAAATTTTATATTAAAATTTATTAATTAAAATTTAAGTGACATGTGTCAACCTCTCCAATGCTGATGTGTCAAGCATATGAAGAAAGTTAAGCAACTTTTATATATAAGATATTTGTAATTAGTTATAACAAAAAAATTTGTTTAACATTAATATTAATGTTAATTAAGAATCAATTAATAAAACAAACTTTTTATATTTTTAAGTGTTTTAAAATTTAAATTTAAAATTTATTTTTTAAAATTTAATATTAAATTTTCTTTTTTAAAATTTAAGTGACCGGTGTCAACCTCTCCAATGCTGATGTGTCAAGCATATGGAGAAAGTTGATTGTCTTTTATATATAAGATTTTCTTTTAATAAGATAAATCCTGGAAATTCTAATCTTCTCTTTATATGTCTCTATAATAACAAAATTAATCAGAGTACTACCCACTCATTTTTAGTTCATACGATAACCCGAAAATAATTCAAATTCTTTTGTAAAAAAATATAACTTAATGAATATAAAATCAAAAATGGAAAATTAAAAATCTTTAACCGGAAATTGAAATCGAAAATCTAAAACTAAACCGAATCGATTTACTTGAGCAAATCGATTTAATTCTCCTCCTCCAAAAAAAAAAAAAACAGATTTCTCCCCTCTTCTCCAAAAATCCTGCAACTTCCCACTCCCACAAACCACTCCCATAAACCCTAATCGATTGGGTTTCTCCAAAACCGTAACTTCCCCCTACTATCTAACTCTTTTTTTTTTAATCCTTCTGTCATTTAGAAAATCCGAACTTCTTATTCTCTTTTTCTCCATTCTAGATAGCTATGGTTAAAACTCGATTAGGCGGAGTGGTCTATGATTCAAAAGAGCCCAGATTACCCAATAGCAGCAAAGAAGCAACCAGGGAAGATGAAGACCCCGAAACAATTTGGAGGGAAGAGAAACCGGCAATTGATGAACAACCCCCTGAAGTAAGTCGGAGAGAAGAAGAAGGAGTGTTGGAAGAACAAGCAGCAATTCCCGAAACCACCAATCAAGCCCATGAAACCGCACCAACACCCATGGAAGAAGATCCACCAGTTCTGGAAACCACCAATCAAGCTGCACCAACACCCATGGAAGAAGAACCACCAGTTCTGGAAACCACTAATCAAGCCCGCACCTACACCCATGGAAGACGGTGCGACGGATCAACCCGAGAAATCCATGGCAGACGGTGCGAAGGATCAACCCGAGAAACCCGAGAAAGAAGTAAGGAAAGAGAGACCGGCGGAGGAATCTCAGAAAGAAGGAGAGGAAGAGGTATCCCAAAAAGATACAGCAGAAGAGGAATCTGAGAAAGATGCAGAAAAAGAGGGAGGGCACACTCCCGAGAAAGTTGCAGAGGAAGAAGGAAAGGAAGAAAGAGAAGAAGAATGAGAAGAAGAAGAAAATTCAGAGGAAGAAGGAGAAGAGGAAGAAAGAGAAGAGGAAGAAAATTCAGAGGAAGAAAGAGAAGAAGAAGAAGCACATGACCAAGAGAGTGTAGAGGAAGAATCAGAGGAAGAAAAAATCAGAGGGAGATTTAGAGGTATGTATACAATATTTTGAAATCTTGTTATGTCTAATGTTGGACAACTGGGACAACATGTACAACTTAGTTTTGCATAATTAGGTAATATCCGGACAACTAGGACAACTGCTACAACTTTGTTTAGGGTAATTAGGTACATCTGGACAACTGGTACAACTTAGTTTTACGTAACTAGGTACATCTGAACAACTGGGACAACTGGTACAACTTTGTTTTACGTAATAAGGTTACATCTGGACAACTGGGACAACTGGAACAATTTTTTTATGGTTTAGGTAACATGTAGACAACTGGGACAACTAAGTCTGATAGGATTTTGTTTCTTGTTTTTATTTCACGATACCGATGATGATAGGCAACCGATGCTGCCTGAGAAGCTTTACTTTGGTCCAACCACGTACATCAAGGGTTGTAGGATATTGATAAGGTATTCTGTTAGAAGTGTTGCAGACAAGATTGATAATCTTGAGGAGGAGAAAACATGGTTCAAAGCGCATCCTCAATTTAAGCATATTTTTCACATGTTCAAGGAGCCCAACCACATGAATCAAGGATTGTGGATGCTTCTCCTCCACACTGCTCATACTGAAAGGCTTAATGAGTGCTGGTTTGTTGTTAACAGAGTTAGGTATTCTCTAGGAGAGCCTGTGCTTTTAAGTGGACTTTTGACTGTCGTGATTACCCGGCTAATAACAAGAATTTGGGGAACATGAAGTTTGTCGAGAAGCACTTTGGTAGGATGGATAAAATTAAGATTGCAGAGGTGAAAGCTAAATTAGATGAAATGAAGGATACCTCTGTGGACAGAAAGAAAAAGGCACTCCTCATGTTTTTATGCAAGGTAGTGAAGGCAAAATACAAGAGTGATGGTAACATTGATCCGTTCTTGCTCCGAGTTGTCAGTGATTTGAATGTGTGTAAAATGTTCCTTTGGGGGCGTTACACATTTGATGACATGATGAAGGAGATTAGGCATGTGATGGCAAAGTATAACGGCAGCGTCAAAGTCAAAAAACAGAATGTCCCTTCTCTTGTTTCATTTTTCCTCTATAGGTAATTCTCAGTCATTATTTTGAAGGAATTAATTTTTTTTTATAATTTAAGGATGATCTTTTCTGAAATTTTGTGTAGATACTTGCTTTTGAGTGTATTCCTAGCCTTGGCCGCAAATTCCGAGAAGCTGTACATGTTCAGAAAGACTGTCTGAGGATGTGCAAGCACAAGTTCACTGATGTTTGCATGAAAGGCATTCCGTTGGATGATATAAATGCAGCAATTGGAACAAGTGCAAAGGTTAGTGTTTGATGGATTTGGTTATGGAACAATAGGATACAACTATGATTGATGGATCTTCCATTATCTCCACATTCAACGCAGATCTAAGTCCCTTTTTATCCACAAATGTTAGATAGACATACACATCACCATCATCAACAATACATGACTCATTGCGTGGCTTAGCTACCAATGGAATGTAGCTTAATTTGAGCTTCTTTGTACTATTGTTTACCCTAATCTTCTTGCATATACCATCTACAACCATCGAATAGGTTACCTCATACAAAGAGGTTTTAAATGGTATGAAACTTCTTGAATTCCGTTTAAACTCCTCTCCTTCCTTAGAATAACATCCTCCATACTCAAAATGTATGTTTGTGTGGCCGCTCATCCTCTTCTGTTCATAACCACACAAAAATAGTCATTTACGGGTTACATAAATTTTCTATTTTCTCACAGTTATACTAATTGTACCAGTTTTCCCACATATCTTGATTATACCAATTGTACCAATTGTCCCCCATAACACAGTTATACCAATTGTATCAGTTGTCTTATATATCTCAGTTATCTCAATTATACAGTTGTCCCACTTAATTCAGTTATCCTAATTGTACCAGATGTCCCATATCTCACAGATTCACTATCCCAACCTACGATTCAGCTCGATTCAACCGCAACAAGTGAAATTTTAACACCGAGAAGACTAAATCGACCTAAATAAGTAACTAAACTATCCAATGTGCAACCGAAAACGACCAAAATTGACAAATCGATTCCTAAATTGGAAAATCCCCAAATTGCAGAAGATGTCTACCTAACTGCAAAATGGCAGAGGAGAAACGAGATATGGAGAACAACACGAGTTCAGAGGAGGCCGGAGCACCACGCCGAGCGAGAATAAACAATAGTTTAGAAGATTCGAGCAGATCGATCGATCTCTGGGGAGAGAGCGGGGAGTTCGAGTTTTTGGTTCGAGCTACCCAGAAATGGTCATAATACTCGAAATTGGTTCTCAGTTTGGTTTTTCGATTTCAGATATTTTAATTTCATATTACTTGATTTAAAAAAAAAATAAAAAAAAAAGAAAATCCGCATATCGCAAATGCCATGATTTCCTTTCATTAAAGATAAAATGGGCATATCACGCCCTTTATGGCACTCAGACTCATTTGTGGCATAAGAGATTTTTTTTCAAGTTATGGATTTTCAGCCATTAAATCGTTGAAAAACCTGATACCTTAAATTTTCTCTCAATCGGAGGAATCTGGTTTAATGGCTCAATTGGCATAATTTAGAAAAAAGAAGTCTCACGTGTCATAATAGAGTTTGAGTGTCTTAAAGCACATAAAAATCTAATTTTACCCTTAATAAATTAGTTTTGTGGCATATGTGATTTTATCAAAAACTAATGTTTAAATAATTTCTTAATTTATATATTAAAATTATAACGAAAATTAATTTTAAAAATTATTTTTTATTTTTCTTTTCTTCCTAATTCTGCAACCCTAAATCCGCTAAATCCCATCATTCATGTTGAACTTTCGGATCTTCCTCCTTTTCCTCATTCTTCATCCTCTGCAATCAGTTTCTTGTCTTTATCTCTTTTCTCCACCACCATTGTTGAAGTTTCAAAATCCAGTTAGGTTTTATTTGGAGATTTGAGGATTTCACAATTTAAAGATTAGATTTGCCAAAATTGCTTGTTCGATACACAAATCGGATTGATAACCCATTTTTATGTGATGATTAGGTCTTTGCATAGATTATTTGTGGAATATAGTTGTTAAATCGTAGTGATTCTTAGGTAGATTGGAATTAGAACTCGAGTTCATCACCAAATGTGCAGAGAAGGACAACTGGTACAAATGGTACAACTAAGAGATAAGAGAACGACTGATACAAATGGATATAACTAAGACAAATTGAATAATTGTTAATTAATATTTTTTTTATTCTAATTGCAAATCGGGCTGGTAACCCAACTTTATATGTTATGAAACAAAAGAGATAAAATATAGGATTCTACATAACTTATAATATATAACCTCAAATAAAAATTTATAGTTAAAAATTAATGGAAACGCTAAAATCTCAAAACAATTAATAAAAATTTTAAACAATTGGATAATTAGTTACAACTATGTACAAAAATTAACTGTGCACATAGGTGCACGTGTTATTTTGACAGACAACTGGACATTTAGAAAAGTCAATTTAGTCTATAAGATTTTATTTTTGTCTGAGAATGCTTTCCAGATGGAAATGAATAAGGTACAACTAAACATATATATATATATATATATATATATATGTACAACTATATGTAATTCTTTGATTAGAAAATAATAATAATAAAATTAAAAAATATAAAAAGAAAGCAGCGACTTAAAAAAATGCAAAAAGGTTAAAAACTATAAGGAATAAAATTAAAAAGATGGATAATATGAAATTATCATTTTTCTAATACCTATTATTGGTTTCACATCAAACACCGCTTATGATACAAGAAAAAATTTAATAATGTTAACAATGTTATGATGGGAAAAAAACAAAATTATGATTTTACATAAATTATAGTATGCAAATATTGTAAATGGACTACAGTAGTCGAAAATTATGTGGACAACTACAAAATAATAATTTATATTAAGGGATAACTGGAAAAATGTTAAAATCGCTAAAGGACAACTAGAAAGAAATTTGGACAACTGGACAATTGGATACAATTATGTACAAAATTGACGGCACATGTGGTATTTTGATTACGCACATATCTATTTTTATTGGGGCACGTCTTCTCTAGCTTAGTGGATGTGAATAAACAAGAGACAACTGGACATGTAAAAACAACTATATGCCACTCCTTAATTTTTTTAAAAATTAATAATTAAATTAAATTAAACTTATAAAGAGAGTATATAGAAATGCAAATACGTCTTAAACTATAAAAACAATATTAATAGGGCAATTCTCTAAAATAACCCTAAAAACTTAAACTTCACAAATTTAGCACCTTTATTGAAAGCTACCAAACATAGCTTTCATTAAAAGGATGTAGACTAAATTATCTTGAACTTTACATAACTAAAAGTCTAAAACTAAAGTTTTAAACAATTACAAGAGGAAGAAAAAATTGTCGACAAAATCAAAAATTGAAAAGGGGAAAGTAAGGTTATCGTCGCTGTTGCCCTATGAAGTATATCCATGTCTTCCTGGTAAAGTCGTCAATGAAGGTGATGAAATATTGACACTTACCTAAAGACAATGGGACTGATGGAGAGCCCCAAAGGTCTGAATGCACATAATCCAGTTTGTCCTTTGTGACATGCTTTGCAGACCCAAAACTGACTTTGTGAGTCTTCCCATATACACAATCTTCACAAAACTGCATCTCTTTTACTTTATTCTTGTCTATGTACCCCTTTCTGACTAGCATCTCCAACCCCTTTGAACCGATGTGCCCGAGCCTACTGTGCCATAAGCGAGTTTCATCATTCACCTTCTCTGTGACATTGGCTTCTCCTGACAATGTGGTTCCTTGTAAGAAGTATAAAGTGTCCTGCTTATTCCCTGTTAAAACAGTTATGTCATCTTTGATGACCGTCAAAACACCATCTCTTGACTTGAACCAGCATCCTTTGTCTTCGAGTGTTCTCATGGACAACAGATTCTTTGACATTTGCGGTACATATCTGACTTGAGTAAGCAGAAAAGTAGTTCCATCATCATTGAGAATCCTGATGTTTCCAATACCTTTAACATCCGAGTAGGTATCATTCCCCATTCTGACTTTCCCATGTCTGGTTTCCCTGTAGTCTAGAATCCACTCTTTTCTGCAGGTCATGTGGAAGGAACAGCCTGTGTCAAGTATCCATGTGTCGGGAGACACTTCTGCAAAACCAAGAAGAGCGTCTGAGGCTACCAACGCAGCTGCATCTGTGGTTTGAGAGATTACAGTCGAGGCTTCTCCTCTTTCTGATGAAGAATCCCTTGATCTGTTTCTTTCCTTCCATACATAGCATTGCTTCTTAAAATGTCCCTCCTTTCCACAAATACAACATGTTTTTCCACCTCCTTTGGACTTCGATCTGCTTTTGTGCTTGCTTTTCTCAGTCCCCTTTTCCTTCTTCTCTGATCTGCCTCTGTTCTGAACAAACAAACCGTCTGAGTTGTTCTTCAATAGTTTTCTGTTTGCTCCTAACTCCAGAATCTTTGACCTGATGGCTCCAGTGATTTCTTCCAGATGAAGAGTAGTCTTACCGTATTTTAGTGTCTCCTTGAGTTGATCAAACTGTTTAGGCAGTGACATAAGTAAGACTATGGCTTGGTCTTCATCAGGAACTGTCACTTTGACATTCTCCAAGTCTGAGATCAATTTGAAGAAGTCGTTGACATTTTCTTCCATCGTCATACTCTCACTCATCTTGTACCCATATAGTCTCTGCTTCAGATATATTCGGTTTGGAAGAGACTTTGCCATAAACAACTGATCTAGAACCCTCAGCATGCCTGCAGCTGTCTTTTCTTTTATAATCTTCCTGAGAACATTGTTTCCTACGCTTAGTATGATGGTAGATCTGGCCTTTCCTCTCTTCTCTTTGAGAGACTTGTCTTCAGGTTCAGGTGTTGTTGGAGCCGGAGTTACTTCACCCTCAGTTTCCGTAGTTTTCTCACCGGTCCCTATAGTTTCTTCTGCTTCCCCGAGACCTTCCATTAGACCAAGTATATCCAGGTGAGCTAGTAGTTTCTCCTTCCAGAGAACGTAGTCACCTTCTCCATCAAACTTTTCCACCTCAGTCTTGCTTGACGACATCTCCTGAAGCGTTACTTGCTCCAAGGTCGAAACCGAGGCTCTGATACCAATTTGTGAGAATCAGACCTTCTAAAGTTGACTACTTTCTCGAGCTTCTTAAAACCGTTTGAATAAACCTTTTAAATAAGAAGTTCTCTCTCAACTCTCTTCGTCTCTCGTTTGTTTGTGTTTGAGCAAGAAATGTAAAAAACACACCAGATTTTACGAGTTC